CTGCACAAGGGGCTGCGGTATTTATAGGATGTAGTAGCCATGCTACCGCATACCTATGAATATTCACGCCCCCCCCCTTTATCAGGGATCGTTGCACGTGGCATGATGGCCGACATTCGAATCGATAATTGCTGCAATTTCACCACATGCTTTGGATATTGGCGTGATGATTGCTCGACCATCTGACGCACCGACCCCGGTGTTGGGAAAAGTGTTCACCTCTGCGCTCCCCGCATGGCTTGTTACTCCGCCTAGGCGAAGTTTCAGCGGGGAGTATGGAGTGTGAAGAGCGAATTAGGTCAACCCTCTGCGCAATAAACAATCTGACGCTCTCAAAGCTGCCACGGTGTGCTGAAACCGTGGCCCGCAAGGCTGCCAAGTGGGGGGATCACTCAGACATCACAGTCAGTCCAATGTGTGGGTGTGTTTGGGTGGAGTACTGGATTGGTGGACTGAGTCAGACTACAATGGCTCCTTCTTAATGCGGTCTTTAGGGCACTCCCACCCAGTGGGATCCGACTCGTCCCCTCTGCTCTTTTGTGCATAATCCTGGCCAAGTGGCCCTTCCCGTTGAACGACAGATGTCAGAACTCACGGGTTGCTTGATATGATCGCCTACCTTGAGTTTCACTTTTCATCTATCTTGAAATCCCAAGGCGCAACAGATCATTGGATCCACCGTGTGCGTGCCGCCCTCCTTCGATCCTGGGAGTCGACGAAAATGTCAAGCCCAGATTACCTGAAGACAACCCTTCAACAAGGCTGAGATGGCCTGTGCACTGGAAATGCAAAGGACTCGTGAATGCTCGATCGATTTGGCCCACACTCTCCCCTCCAAACTTGCCTCTTCAGCCGCAATTACGGCAAATTCAAATGCAGTCACCTAGAAGCATAACTGGCAAACGGCGCCCCAGCCAACGGGTGTAAATACAAACCAATGTAGTCGTCGTTACTTGTAGATTTGACCTTTCCGACGGCTGTATAATTTGTGGATCCAAAGACAGATCGCTGCTGTGACACCCGGACATCTTTCGTCTGACAAGTTTCTCTGACGTCCAAAGAGGTCATCGCGATCGCCATTTCAGTGGACGATCACAATCGTTAAGAATATCGTGTCGTGACTGCCCATAGACTCGGCCACGTATCAAAAGAATTTGTCATAGAGACTACCTCTCTAGAACCCTGTTCTGGCTGTGATACCGTCGTGGCGACTGGGCATACAAACGAACTAACCTCTGGCTTAGGGATCTACGGCCTACACATCACGTTGGTCGGTAACGCATTGTAGGTTGGTTGCAACACTTGCAACATGGAAAGGCGATTCACTCGGCGCATACACCGGTGGGCGGAGTGAATGGGTCTTCTTCGAAGCCAGGACGAAGAGAACCAAGTGACGGCACGTTGACATGACATGGCTAAAATGAACTGACATCAGGTGGGTTAGGTTTTTGAACAAAAAAAAGTACTGGAGAGGACGTCCGAAAAACGATCCTAGTGGCTGTTTGGGATCTGCTGTATTTAAAACTCCCAAACAAATGCACAAATGCGGTCCATACTGCGGTCTCCGCACAGCAGCATTACCGACAAAGACAGGGGAGGCTGGAATGGCCATTTCTGGCTTATCAGCCATCGTCAGCGTTGGACTTCTAACCAACAGGTCGCAGGATCGAGTCCCAAATGCTGCACACCTCGGGGTTGGATATGGCTGGCTGATGACGGCCAATAAGTCAGAAATGGCCATTTCAGCCTCCCCTGTCATTGTCGGTAACGATACCCCGCCCATATTACGCGTCTACATACAGGTGTTGGCGGGGCTCGAGAGAGAAAGCCCCGATGGCACAACGTGATGAGTGAGTTCCGTAGTGCAACCGATGTGCGCCCCTCTACTATTGTATATACCCGACCACGAGCCCGTGGCTCAGCATTTAAAGCGTTGGACTTCTGATAAACAGATCGCGAGATCGAGCCCCAGGTGCTACACACCTTTGGATTGGGCACGGCTGGCTGACGACGGTTAATAAGCCAGAAATGACCATTTCAGTCTCCCTTGTCTTTGTTGGCAAGCTTAATGTGTTAATGCTATTCAAAACTGGAACCCGAAAGTCTGACGACGCGTAGCCTTCATGAGAGGCACATTTATGTCCGTCTGAACTTCGAATCCTGACTTGGACTCATGGGAAATCATGGAAGTCAGCTTCCATCTCACTCTCTATGGCACTGTTTTGGTAGACACGGTGCGGCGACCGCTCTCTCGCAATAAGCGAATTATGTGGTGAAAAAGACGCCTGACGACCGAGCAAATGCACACAAACCTCAAGTTTTGCAATCCATACCGCGGTCTCCGCACAGAAACACGAAAAATAGGCAGAATGGCATTACCGACAGCTGGAATTACCGTCGTCGTGGAAACGATCGATGAGCACCCCTCTACCATTGTATATTCCTGATCGTAACCGACAACGAGCCCGTGGCTCAGTGGTTAGAGGCGTTGGACTTTCAACCAGCAGGTCGCGCTGTCGAGCCCCAGATGCTGCACACTTCGAGGTGGAGTATGGCTGGTTGACGACGGCTAATGAGCCAGAAATGGCCATTCCAGTCTCCCTTGTCTTTTTGGTAATGTTAATGCTCTTCAGTCGTGAAATCCAAAGTCTGACGAAGCCCAGCCCTCATCGGCGACACATTGATGTCCGCCGTCTGTCTGGAATTCGAATCTCCGACCCGGACTCACGAGAAATCGAAATCCCGATGCAAGTCAGCTTGCATCTTGCGGTCAAGCTACTCTTGTAGCAGACACGGTGCGGCCACCGCCAGTTAATGGTAGATTGGGTTACGTACGACTGCCTATCGTTCCTGTATACTTGCCAACATCCACTGCCGATCAGAGTAAGAATGAAACATTGTACTGCAAGGACTGAGTGAAATACTCTCTCACCGTAATCTGCTGGATGTTTCCGGAGACTGGAACAGCCAGATTGGGCCAGGCAGCTCCACAAACAGTATTGGCCTCGGCTCTCGATACGATGATGCTGAATGTTACGCTTTGTGACTAGGATCGCAGTCAGACGACAGTCGTGAAAATAAACATATTGATAACATTATAGGCAGAATAACATTACCGACAAAGACAAGGGAGACTGGAATGGCCATTTCTGGCTTATTAGCCGTCGTCAGCCAGCCATACCCAAGCCCGAAGTGTGGAACACCCGAGCCTCGAACTCGCGTCCCCTAACATTGTATATTCCCGATCGAAAACCCACAGGGCAACGGGCTCGTGGCCCGGTGAAAAGAGGCGTTGACCTCTAAACCAACAGGTCGCGAGTTCGAGGCTCGGGTGTTCCACACTTCGGGCTTGGGTATGGCTGGCTGACGACGGCTAATAAGCCAGAAATGGCCATTCCAGTCTCCCTTGTCTTTGTCGGTAATGTTATTCTGCCTATGTATCATGCGCCGCTGTGCGGCTGCTGGTTGGGCTCGAGAGAGAGCTCTTAAGGCACAACGGAACGAGTGAGTTCCGTATGAATGATCGGTGAGCGCCCCCTACCACTGATAACATTATATTTAGCTACAGGTTTCGCAGCTGGATTCATGATAGTAGGTCGATGTTGGTGCCGAAATCAGCAAACCCTGCAATTTCACTCGCTACCCACTTCCAAAATGTCTCGTCTAGGGCGCCATTACATCACAAATGTACGACAATCCAGCACAACGGAGGCTCTGAGCACAGAAATCCGGTCTCCTCTGTGCCGAGTTCAAGCGTCGGCGTGACCACTTCGAGCACCTCCTCAACTACGCTGAACAAACTGTCGCCCCATCCGCTCCGCATTTGATTGCTTTTATGCAACCCCTATCCTCGGGAAGATATGACAAAATACAGGGACTGCGTAACGACAAAACGTCCGGGGGGACCGTATTGAGACCCAAGTTTGTCTTAGGTAGCTACTGGCGCCCTGGTTCCATGAGGTGACCCAGCAGGCGTGGGGAGATGAGTTCACTTAAAATGGCAGAGGCTGCACCACCCACGTACTGCCCCACGAGGGGAGGTAAGACAAAACGTAAGAACCACGAGCACACACTTCACTGGCCTTTCTGCAAACGTCCGCACTGTTCCCATTCTCGGCCAGAGTCCCCCAAAGGACAGCAGATGATTTTCGCGGCGTCGAATTTGCACCCTGGCGCGTTTACACACCCTGCCTACACTGACGGTGCCGCCCTGCCGTCGCAAGGCTACGAGGGCCTACAGAGTGTACAAGGCCGATAAGTCGGTCAGATTATCCATAATCGCAGGCAGGACCGCAGCTATCGAGCTGCATCCCTCTGGTTAACCGCTGTACGACCTGGACAGTTACGAATGCCCCGGTGCGTGGATGCCGCCAAAAAGATAAGACGGGTCGATCTCGCCGTCGAGTCTGCCGCTCGCAGGATTATCGCGATCTCCAGGTATGCGGGCCCGGCGCGGTATTCCCATCGTCAAAATGATCTGCGAGCGTCTGGCATCTATCCGGTCAGTCCAGAGCGGTCGCGAATGATGAGCAGCGCACACGAATAACTAGTGTAGACCCGATGAGTTTGACCATCTGCCTAACAATCGTCCTTCGGGTGGTATACACTGACATAGTTGACAGTCCGCACTAGCTGCTACGCCGCAAGGATCTCGGGACATCCAAGACAGCCGAGGTACGTTCCTAGTCGCCCGCCGCACTTTGTAGTGGATGACATCCCAAATATCCACTTCAGCTGTATAGTCGGCATGCTAGTAGCTAACTCGAATCTAGTTACTGTGGCTTATCTTCCTACCCGTGCACAATAGACGAAGGCAGTAAGACGACATAACTGCAAGCAAAAAGATATTTATAACCGATTAGAAAAGATCACGTGAACTGTACATAAGGGCTTGAGGGTGCTGCAGAATAAATGTTGCTGCTGCCTCTGCCAGGTGTAAGAGAAGAACGGCAGATAATTAATGTGCAAAATAAATGAGTAACTGACCCGACACCAAGATACTACAAAGGAATCTCTGGAAATATAGGGGCATCGTCCGGAGCAAATGTATTATGTTGGATAGGCTGATCAAAAAAGCAAAGATCCTCTTCCACAGAAAGGGAGTCGGCGACTGGGGGGAGATCCAACTCATCAATGTACTCCATGGATGCAGTAGACGACGAGTGTTGCATAGTGCGTGATGAGATCACATCGTCGTCAGGGGTGGGGAGACACGAACTGAGGTCGTAGTCATTTTTGAAAACCGTCCCGATGCGCGGTAGAACAGTTGTTTTCGGCGGGGCTGTTTGGGCGGAACTGACAGGAGGGGAAACAAAGACCGGCTGAGACTCAGCTGGACGAGAGGACACCGGCGGCAAAGAATGACGGGTGGACACTGAGCTGTAACTTCTGGTTGACCGCGATGACGGCATGGGAGGTGCAACATAAGAGTTATATGGAGGGGGACTGGAGAGACCTTCGTGATAGTTCTTTGGCCGAAGGAATGCCAACTGATAGTCTCCAAGAGCTGCGCGTTGGGCTGGTGTGGTTTCATAACTGCCATCAATCGAACGTGCTCTATAAAAGGAAAATGAGGTAACCGAGATATAAAAGAGGACAAAACGAGGTACTGACTGGCAAAAACGACTAGAAGATAATGCCAGACAATTCAGGACTTACGGGAAGCGAGAATTCGGGTCATAAGATAACCTATGATTCAGTCGCAACTAGATCGGAAATTGGGCCTATTCTGGACAAAAGTCCAAAAACAGGAGAGTCTGCTAGTCGACTAGGACGCCTGTGCCCAGAAGGCCCTTAGCAATAAGTGTCAATAAAAACCCTTCTTGTAAGTCAGAAACAGGTGCTGAACGCTGCTGACCTACATTTTGGCCCCAAAGAATGTAAATCTCAAAAGCCGTCTACCTCTTTAAATACAAAAACACGGATTTCGATGGCCGTTGTCTGTCCGAGTGCTCAACATCGTGCGCATTTTCAAACCATTGACAAAAGGTGCATGTGGACTTACGCTTTGTCATGCTTTAGAAGGTTGTCGACGATGTTGACCACTTTGCGGTATGTCTCTGTGATGGAAGGATACGCAGGGCGAGCCGGCACGGGGAGTCCAACACGCAAAAACTCCTTCTCGATCCTCTTGATTTCGGCCAAAGTCCTCTCAAACAACTGTAGGTTATGATTCTCCTCGCGTACGACGTGGTAAGCAATCTGCAGGACTTGCGGGTAGGACAACTTGTCAATCGACTTGGGAGCATTACCGGGACCCAAATGGCGTAGGTCCTCTTGTGAAAAACTGCACCGAATAAGTTCGTAGATGACAGCAAGCTCTCTTCGACGGCTTCTCTCCTGTTCGTTGTGCTCATCGCGAGCACGCTTGTCAATACGTGACGACTGAGACCCGTCTTTACAGTCGGACTTGTCGTTCTGCTTTGAGGGGCGTACGGAAGGGCGCGACATGGAATCCCGCAGCCGTTTCGTCGGCGTAAAGTAATTGTCATCTGAATCACACTCGTGATCAGAGAACGGACTGCTTTGCAGGAAACTGGAGTTCCTTCGACGCTCCGCATGTGGAAACCTCTGTTTACGATTCCGCGAAGCCATTGAGTTGAAAAATATGTCTGACATCTGAATGATAATTAAGAGACCGGTGAAATTAAAGTACCTTGAACACTAACATTTCTGAAAGATGCCCTACGTAGGCCATTGTCAGTAAAATACCAACATTTACAATAAACCGGAGAAAGTCATAGATAACGACGCTAAGCCATACCGGGTAAATCTGCCAGCTTTTACACTCGCCAGAAACAGCCGTAGTGCAGAATTGATTTAAAGTGACGCATGTGTATAACGTTCAAGATTTGGTTCCTGACGTAGTGTCAAGACCTAATTCCGTGTGAAATCACTGTATAGACCACAAGAAGTCGTCAACATTAGAAGTTTATCAAACTATGGCCTTAAACTCTGGTATATATGGCGCAACTATCATTACCATCTCCTGTATTCGCAACTTTTACCTCTGAAGACCGCAGAAATCCGGCTGCACGGAGACTCAGTAACAATTGCGGGCGGTACACGGTGGGGAGCACCACACCTAATTGTGTCCAAAACAGGGTATGTGTGACCTTAAAAGTAGAAAACCGACGCGCGACGTAAAGCCCCAGTTTGCCTTTGGTCAGAAGGGCAGAGGACGCTGCTCGGCGTACTGCCCGCGTGACCGAAACCACCGAGAGGAGTGGAACGGCAACCTCACACACTGATATCACCCAAAATTCCACATGATATAGTAACTTGGGCTTCGAAGTGGCAAACCCCATAAGGCGTGACTCCACGCAAACACATTGCTGGCAATGAACGTACGACAGACTAACCAATGTCGTCAGTTTTTCGACCAGAAGCCACCCATCTCAGATGCCAATTGCACCGCAGTGGAGCGGGAAAAATCACGGAACAGCTAAGTGGGTAGGACCTGGTGAGAAGATGGGACAGTACAAGCTAACTAAGCCCATTTTGAGGGCCGTAGGCTGGCTGTCCAGTTTCGATGCCCAGAGTAGCGGGGTTAAGTCTTATAAAATTCCATAGAACGAAAATTAAATTTATCCAACACACGTAGGAAAGAACCAGAAATCGGCTCATAAAATTCGCACAATAGAAAAACGTGGTCACACTCACCTAAACCACGCCCAGCACGTGCCTATTGAAAAAATGCCAACGCGCCTGGTAAAACAACGGGCTGAGGTTAGGATGACTATAGACTGTGTATTCAGTTTCCCAAATTTTTCGCACCTTTTCAGGGGTCTTCTGATTGAAGTCTGGTTCAGGTAGACTTAGTAGCCAGGTTTTTTGTTGCAAGTGTGGACGAGGTGCTCACTTCTATCAGCCACTGTATCCATGCCCATCTCAGGTAATAATGATCTTGTCTTGAAATTGAAATATGACCGTTTGTGGGAAAACGTTAGGCGGAGTTGTTACCCCAACTCTGATTCGCAATGAAAAAAATATCTCGCAAGTCGCCTCTCAGAACTAAAGTCAGCATTTAGCCTCGTCGTTCGTGACAGTCGGACTACCGTGTCTGTCGACTCATTGCTTGAATTTAAGAGAGTAATCTGGTAACAGTCGCGTACTCTCTGCACTCTATTGTTAATTTAGACAAGAAAACAAAGTCGAGGAATCTCTAGAACTGTTCGTAGACGGTGAAATCAGTTTAAGAGGCCCTAATCCAGCAAAATCAATGTATGTAAACTGATTGTGCGGACAGCTAAATTCACAAGTCAGAGTAGGTCAATTTCTATAAGAGACAAAGCCCTCGCTCTTAAGCTTCTTACACCTGTCCAAAAATAATAAAAAAACAAGTTTGAAAACAGTGAGTATGGAAAGTGTGAGGTTGTTACTCCGGAAATGAAAGCCAAGTCTGTGAGCTCTTTGAAAAATTGCGGAGACTCCTTTCGATGTCAAGATTATCGTAGGCGATTTTAATTTGCCAGAAATTGACTGGCACAAACATACTTCCTCTCCTAAATTCCAGAAGCTTATTGACACCATTTACTTTTCGAACCTGACTCAATTAGTCCACTCTTCGACCAGAAACGATAGTGTTTTAGACTTAATTTTCACTAATGGCTCCTTCCCTCTATATATGGATCTCTATCATGACCTTTTCGCATGTGATCATGCATTAATTCGTTGTCGCCTTCCTTTTGCCATTTCCGTAAAGCCAACAGTACAACGTAGTATTTTTGACTTTGTTAATATTAACAAGGAATTAGTAAATAGCCTTACAAGCACTCTTGATTGGCACAATATCTTTTCAAATAATGACCTAAATTTTTTTAACAATTTATTACAATGCACAACAGAAGGTCTTCTCGACCTAATTCCACGGAAGACGTTCAAATCGAGTGCCACTTCCACCGCTGTTCCACACTTTCTTAAAAATAGACTTAAAAAGCTACAGAAGCAGCTTAAAGATCCTTCTGTGAGGTCATTATCAGTTCATCTAAGAATCGTCGAAATATTTGAATTAGCTTCGAAAATGAGACTTCCGCGAGACAGGCGTAGAGAGTTTTTAGCTATTAATGACGTGAATGCTTCCAAATCAGTTGCTCAGATCTTCCGTCAAAGATCATCAGCTAAGTCCCACCAAGTCATTCCGCCTTTGCTTAGTACCAACGATACCTTCATTACACATGAGTCAAGCAAAGCAGCAATGTTAAATTCTTTCTTTGCCAAACATTTCACCATCGAAACTGACCCAATCTCTTTAATTCCTCCGTTGTCTGATGCATCTCTCAGCATCAGTAATTTTTCTCCTGAAACTATTCAAAAACTGATAAGCCATCTTCCTAACTCTCACTCAGTAGGTACGGACAATATCCCAAACTCTTTGATAAAACAGCTAAGAGATTTTCCTCCTCTGCTTAGCAAAATCTTTTCAGTATTTCTCGTAAATGGCTTCTTCCCTGACTATTGGAAAACTTCTATTATTATTCCAGTATTTAAGTCTGGCTGTCGTTCTGACGTACAGAACTATCGAGGTGTCCATAAAACACCCTCTCTCGCCAAAATCTTTGAAAAAATTATTGCCACAAAAATTACCGAATTTTGCATAGCCAATCAAGTTATTAGTCCTTTCCAGCATGGTTTTTTACCAGATCGCTCTTGTGAAACATGTCATTCGTCGTTTCTCAATCTACTTATCTCTCTTCGTAATGATCACCTATCTGTTGTCGTTATTTATTTTGATCTTAGTAAAGCCTTTGATAAAGTGCCACATAAAAGACTCTTGGTTAAATTGGAAGCTATGGGAATTCGCAGTCCACTAATAGACTTTCTCAGGTCATACCTGTCTAATCGTAAAGAAAAGGTTTTGGTGGGATCTTCACTTTCCAGTGAAAGTCCTATTGTGAGCGGTGTCCTACAAGGCATCGTTTTAGGTCCTCTTTTGTTCTTGCTTTACGTAAATGATATCTCGGCGGCAGGTAAGCATTCGCAATCATTCATTTATGCAGATGATCTCAAATGTGTATATTGTTTCCATAAATCTACGAGTCTTCATTGCCTGGATTAAATCCATGCTGACTTGCTTGCTCTCTCAGCTTGGAGTTCAAAATGGCTAATGGAATTCTCTCCTTCTAAATGTCGCTATGTGTTTTGGGCCTGACAGACTACCCCAACCAGTGATCTTTCAAGGCACACATATGACTGAATGTACAACCATCAAGGATTTAGGTTTAAGCTACACTAGTAATCTTGATCTCTCGCCACACGCTGACAGAATTACAGCCAAAGCGGCCCAGATTTGTGGCTTTATTTCTTACAATTTCTATCTTACTGAAATTGAATTAAGGCTCTATCGTATGTTTGTACTTCCCATTCTCGAGTATTGTTGCCCATTCTTTGGTTTGATGAATGAGGCTAGTCGTTTTAAAATTAAAAATGTTCAAAGACGTTTTTCTAAAAAAAACTTCAGATAAGGAACATCCCAATATCTCCGCCTCAGATAGATGCCAGCTAATTAACCTAAAATTTTTATGGGTTCGAAGACTAGAAGCAGGTTTCTGTCTCCTCTTTCGCATTAATCATAGTTCAGGATTTCAGCACCCACCCCTAGTGGTCGCCCATACAATCTTCGCAACTCATCCTTGATTATATTTCCTCCAGCGTCCTCCACCTCTAAGCGCTCCCTTTTTTTCGCTTTTAGATATACTTTCCTCTGGAATACCCTTCCAATAAATATAAGATTTTCAGATAATCTACATACCTTTAAGAGTAGGCTACGCCTTTATCGGAATACTGACTCGATCAAACTTTTATTTTCCTCATCCTTCCCAGACAATTTTCTCTATGACTCTGAGAAATGGCCACCGGGAATTTAGTATGCCGCCATTAACTTTCCGTATCTGCTCACACTTCCTTCCTTTGTGAGTCGTATCGCTTCCTAAGATCCTTCACCAGAAATGTTAATTTTTCCAATTTTTTTCAGTTCATGCATCGTGCACTCACAGAATGAGCTCCATCGACGCTCTTGGCGAAACCTTCTGTATTCGCCATATACTAGTAGTCTGGTCGCATCTCCCTGCCCCATCCTCGGATGGACTCGGATGAATGTAACCGACCGCATCTGGGTTCCTATGGCCTCGAGACTGGTTTTCAAGTTCGCCACTTATTTGCCTTATTCAAGGCCACATACAGGCCAGTCCTGACCAACCCGCCTACTTACCCCTTCATGAAATCCGTTATCCAATGTCATATACAGCTGAAATTTATTTCTGTCCTGTCGATGTCCGATTATAATCCATTATATACCGCCACATGCAGGCCAGTCCTGCCCGCATTTTTCTGTTTCTATTTTTTTCGAGGGGTTTTTTTCTCCTGTAAAATCAATCCAGTCATTTTTAAATTTCCGTGTGGAGTTTTTTTTTCACCCCTCGCTAATCATTTTTCTTAACGAACTGCTATTT